TTCTCTTCTCTTCTCTTCTCTTCTCTTCCTAGTTCTGTTCTGTTCTGCTCTAATCTTTCTCTTCTCTTCTCTCCTCTTCTATTCTATTTTATTCCCTCCCATATTCTCTTCTCTTCTCCTCTCCCCTCCCCTTCCATCTTCTCTTCTCTTCTCTTCTCTTCTCTTCTCTTCTCTTCTCTTCTCTTCTCTTCTCTTCTCTTCTCTTCTATGGACCTCCTCTCATTAGCAGACTAGATGCCTCTCGAAGACCCTTCCCCCAATGCTGTTATTTTTACCGGCTTGATCTCAGACCAATCATCTGTGTTCTCCTCCTCCAGAAGCCTCCCTGTAATCTCCACGTAATGCCGGCCCAGCTCTTCCAGGGCTCCCAGCTGGCCTGGTTCTTCCACCTCGACCTCAGACGCCTCTTTCAAAAGCTGGAAGAGCCCCAGGAGAGAAGAGGCACCCAGAGGAGGAGGCTGGGCTTCAGACAGGACCCTCTCCACGACCTTCAATCTATTCGCGGCCGCTGAAAGAGTCACCCCTTGGCCATCTGCCTGGAAGACGTTCTCGGGAATCTGCAGAAGGGGAAGAGGGCTGGAGTTAGAGAAGGACATTGGGCAAGCTTTAGAATAGAATGAGTGAGTTGGAAGGGAACCTTGGAGGTCTTCTAGCCCAGCCCCCTGATCAAGCACAAGATCCTATGTCATTTCAGACAAGTGGCTGTCCAGTCTCTTCTTAAAAAACCCCAGTGATGGTGCAGCCACAACTTCTGGTGGCAAGCAGTTCCACTGCTCATTGTCCTCCCTCAATTCCAGGTTGCTCTCTCCTAGATTAGTTTCCATCCATTGTTTCTTGTCCTGGCTTTGGAAAATAATTTGACCCCCAACTCTTCTTTGGGGCAGCCCTTTAAATGCTGGAAGACTGCTATCATGTCCCCCCTAGTCCTTCTTTCCTCTAGACTAGACATACCCAAATCCTGCAGCTATTCTTCGTAGGTTTTTCTCTCCGGGCCTTTAATTATCCTAGTTGCTCTTTTTCTGAATTTTTTCCAAAGTCTCGACATCGTTTTTTGTAAGGTAGTGACCAAAACTGGACGCAGGATTCAATTTTTTTTTACTACTGGTTCTGTGGGCGTGGCTTGGTGGGCGTGGCAGGGGAAGGATACTGCAAAATCCGCATTTCCTCCCCACCCCACTTAACCTGCTTTCCAGCTCCGTTCTCCTGGGCAGGGCAACCAAAGGAGACCCAGCGGATCAGCCGGGACTCAATGGGAGGCAGAGAAGAGATGGAGTTGGCGGGGCGGGATTGGCCGGTTCTCTGAATGACTCAAAATTTCTGCTACCGGATCAGAACCGGCTGAATACCCACCTCTGCAGAGACCCCCTTCTCCCCTTGGGTTCCTACTGCAAACCTTACAAGCATTGAGCCAAGTGCTTTCTGAGCTGCCCTTGCTCAAGATCCCCCTTTGATTTTTGGGAGGGGGGAGGACAGGAAAGATGTTTAAGGAGGGCTTAGAAGGCTAGCCCCCCCCCCTCCATGTTACCCAGCATGCCTTGGGCTAGGGGGTTGGGTCCTTCTGGCTTCGCCTAGTCTCATCGTTGGGCGGTTTAATTTGAGTCACGCAACCTCCATTCCCAGTGCTAACTGCTTAGGGGATTCTGGGGCAGTGGTGGTA